GCGGAGCTTAGAGACACTTTTTCTCTCGCGTCAAACGTGAAGCAAGTCGAACGTATCCCGGCAACACGTATTCCTCGGTCGCGATGCTTTATGTAAGCCTAGTACGCTCCGGCATGTGCTTGTCCTAATTGAAAATTATGGTCTCAATATCGGTGGGTGTATGAACAATTTGTGATTGATATGTTATTAGTGAATTATATCTGGCCGTTCATATATAAACTGATTATTTTTTTTTTGTATTTGGTGACAAATCGTTGATTATTAGCTGGCCATCGATGACACGTCCGTATTTTTCGACGAGGGCCGACGCCCGAGTGGGTACGAGGAAAATCGGGGGGGAGGGGGGAGAAAAGTGATGGTTTGGGGAGGGGGGAGAAAAGAGATGGTTAGGGGCGGGTAGGGAAAGAAAAATATTTACTATTAAAGGTGGATGTGGTGGGTACGGGTGTGGGTAAGGGGTAGAGAAAGGAGGGCTGGCCCAAAAAAGTGCCCACGCGGTGGAGTGGTGGTGGTGAAAAGTGACATTGTTGATGAAGAAGAAGTGGGTGTGCTACTGTGATGTTGTGGTGTGTGCAAACATACTTCAACATCAGTTGCGTCATGAAGCTCGAACATCACGGTGCCTGGATCGACGTGTTCGCTTCATTCAATCGTTGAACATTGATACATTCAATACTCATTCAGTGAATAAATATTGTTTCTTTTGGTGAACTGGATTTGTACATTTCAGTGTCTGTGCATCGTTGAACTTGAATTAAGTGTTCGATTTTGTAACTGACGGCTCGAAACTTTGCTTTTACAATCGTTTTGAGCAGCAGTTTGGACACTTTTTTGGTTGTGTTACAAATTAAAAAAGTTGCAAGGACTAATGTACATTTTTAAATTAATTATGGAACAATATTCGTATATGTCAATAAACTATTTATTTACGGGCATTATAACTCGAATTTTAACGTTTATATCTATGTTTGTTTTTGTATGTTAGACTATTTCAGTAATTGTTATTTAACTTAATTGAACTTTAAACAAATCATAATATGTGCTGACAACTTCATGAACTATTATAGCATTTAAAAATTGCAGTAGCTAAACCAAATAATTCCAAAAATATATATATTGAATGCCATAGATATATAGGGCACAATATACTCACAATTGCAAGTTTGGTTGATATTTATTTCGTATCATTTTATCAATGTAACTCAAGAGGTTTGGATTGTAAAATCAATTTCACATGAGCCTAACAGCGTTTCAGGAGCCAAATAATGATTTACTGCATATTCCTGTTCTAATACATGATTATCTTTACGCATTGCAATATCCATAATTATTTAAAACCTGATTTATTATAATAAATCGTAAAAATTAAACTAATGATTCATCTAAACTCATCTATTCATTCATTCATTGAAGTTTTTTTTCTTCAGCATCAACACAATTTTAAGAGATAATAAATGGTCGATATATTTTCTAACAATATCTTGTTTATCTTTTTCTACGAGCATCTTTCACTAACATATCAATCATTATCATATAAGTCAACAATTAATATCATATCATTAATTAAAATTAAATAAAACCATTTACTATGTGCTAACAATCAGTGTAATCAGTGATTTATTATTTTAATCAGTGTAATATTATTTTATTTGTAGCTTTAATATAATTCAGTGATTTTTATTTAAGCAATTCCAAGCCATGCACTCTTCAAATAATCAATATATGATGCTCGTAGACAGTAACAGTGCAATATTTAATAAAGCAATATACCAAGCCAGGTACTCTTCAAATAATCAATATATGATGATCGTAGACCGCGTAACACCTATTGCAGTTTTTAAATATTATAGGGATATAGTGCAATGTACTCCTCAAGCATTCATTCTATATCTACATATAGAATGTAGATAAGAATATTATTAGATTAGAATGTAGAATTAGAATATTATTAATTACACGGATATAGGCCCGGATAATTAATAATATTGGGATTAAATCCAATTACTCTTTAAACTATCAGTACAATTTAGAATACTCTTCTACCGAGTTAATTCATTGCATCAATGGTTGAATTTACATCAGACATGTTTGAACATGTTTGATTCGCGACATGTTTGAACGTGATGAATAAAAACATGATTTTTAATGAAGAATAATAAATGATCGCAAGTTAATTAAACAAAATTCCAATGATCTTAGTTGCGACATCAGATATTACATTTAGAAGGAATAGGATCCGAATGATCAATTTAAATACTAGCAGAATTATATTGAAAACACCTTCTTAAATCTTGGCGGCAAAAATTATAACAAAATATTCTAATAATAAAGATAATTTAGAAATAAATTCTAGTTATGAACCCTTGTCAATTATTATTGGCCGGCGGATGGTCGCCTTTGATATATTATTTCTTAATTCTGCTTATTAAGAGGTTATTTTATATCCTCTTAATATTTATATTAAGGTAACCTAATCTAAGAAAATCTCTATATCTAAGAAATATTATAACCTTTTATATTTTTATTTTTAACCTAAAAGGCTATTTTATAAATATCTAGTTTTAACTTCTAGCACGAACCATAATGTAGAATTCAAGTTTACTGGCAAATAAATACCAAATTATTCCAATAAATTAATAACGATACTTAACTTAACGATATTCATTTGTTCACACCACCAAACGCGATTCAAAAGATTCATCATAAACTGCACTTCCGTGTCGTGATGCGCCGTATCAATCAAATTAATCTACACGGAATGGATTTAATAGCATTCATTGAATGTCATTCATTTATTACCTTTCATTTAATGTCATTCGCTTAGTGCCATCCATTCATGGTGAAGAACCAAATCACTTGATTTCTCGTACATTTCATGACTATATCATTCATCTATCTCTGGCTTAATTTACGAGTTGATTGTTACTCCGATCTTTAATCAACGTTGCGAATTTCCAATGAACGATTTAACATTTACAATCCTAATTTCAAATCCACAAAGAATCACTATAATGCCGAGCCTCGTATTGGTCACGTTATCAGATGCTGGTTTTTGACAGCAATCGATATCGATGAGTCTAGCCGGTCCCTCAAGTGTGAACATCTCTTTCACGGCAATGAAAATGTTCAATGAGCTGCATAATTTTGAACTCATTGTGTGAACTGACAAGTGGTGCATTTATCTCTGATAAACATCGACTCTATTCAATTTTTGGTTCTTTGTGAGCCCTGATATCTTTGTCCAGCTGGTGAGTTTGAGGCCAAATCGATGCCTCGGTTTGGCTTTGCGCAAAATTTTGTCTTTTGGCCAAATAATTTCGTCTTTTAGCTAGAATTTTTTTGCCGTAAGGCAGTTTTGGAACGTTAAGTATCTGCAAGTAAATAATCGGCTTAGGTGCATTTAATGATTTATTGTCATATGTTAATATAAAAATTTTATGACTAGTGTTTTTTTTTTCTTGTAAATATCATTCATTGCACTATAAAGAATTGAACGACTATAGCACTCAACGTTCCGCGTTAAACCAGTTTATGGCCCGTCATAAATTTGTTTTTCTTACCTGACTAAATTTATTAATTATATTCATAGAACAAATTCATTATTCCCGAATCGAATAATAATTTTTAGTCACTAAAATTCAGTGCCATATCATGAATTAAATCAGTGATCCTACTGATAATTCAAATAAATAATTGGCTGCCACGTGTAGATGTCAGGTGCACCGGCAGGCTTCTGATTCACATGAACGTAATCAACAGTAAGTAAATGAACGAAATGAATTTAAATTTCACATTAAAATGATTAACCACTGCGAAAATGTTATCAATTCTCATCAATAGTCAGGAGGCTCGAGGCTGCACTGATTGTTTATCAGACATTTGAATAATATTCTCTGGCCACACATGTTTCTCGCACATCTGCCTCATCGGAACATTTTTGCACATGTGTCGCTATGTTCACACCATCACGGTGCATTTTGTTACATGCTCTAGATTAATAATTCAAGCACAGCGTTATATGGTGTACTTTAGTACATGTTCTCGTTCTAAGTGTACGGTGATACGGTGTACTTCGTACGGTGCACTCATGTTCGATGTACATACCTTCATTATCAATTTAAGGTGTAAGGTGCACAATATGATATTTGCTTCACATTCACTCTGGCTTTGAACCTTCGCAATTTTCGTTCCACTTTTCATAAAAAATCTCTCATTAATGCTTCCAATTCGGTTTTCAGTGTTTTGATAAATGAATTTTGATTAAGTTTTATGTCGTACAAAAACTGTCGAAAAATTCATAATTACGCAAATTTGCAGCAACAATTGTAGTCGTAAATTATTCATAGCCATTATTGACGCCAGCTTGTCATAATAATAACTGTCGTAAATTTGTCATAACAATAATTTTCATAAATTTGTTAATTAATTTAGTCGTAAACTGTTAATGACAATTATTGTCGTAGACTTGTCATTGCAATTATTTTCGTGAATTTGTCATAGCAATTATTGTCGTAAATTTGTCATAACAATTATTGTCTTAAATTTGTCATTGCAATTATTGTCGTAAATTTGATACAGCAATTATGATCGTAAATTTGTCATTGAAATTATCGTCGTAAATTTTTCATTGCAATTATTGTCGTAAATTTATCGTAGCAATTATTGTCGTAAATTTCTCGTAGCAATTATTGTCGTAAATTTGTCATTGCAATTACTCGTGCAAATTTTCTATTGCAATTATTGTCGTAAATTTGTCATTGCAATTATTGTCGTAAATTTGTCATTGATATTATTGTCGTTAATTTGTCATAGCAAACATAACGGCTGCCTGAAATAAAAGTACTTTGTCAGCTATAGATTTTCAATAATTAATCCGTATTTTTCTAACTTTCCAGATTTTAATTATTTCAATTTTTTATTGGAGCTGCGTGAATCATTTTTCGACAGCGAGGAATTTTAACAAATTTCTTACTATGTTTTCTCCNGCGTGAATCATTTTTCGACAGCGAGAAATTTTAACAAATTTCTTACGATGTTTTCTCCTTTCTTGAATATCTTAAACATTCAGTGAAAAATTAACAAGATATAGATAATAGGCTGTGGTCCATTAAATACTTTTAAAAACAAATAATCATCGAAACAATTTTTATTAAAGCAATGTATAGTGATATCGTGGAGGAAAAACCTACTAATTTTCCCGAGGACAAGAAAAGTGACATTGAATCAAAAAATACCTCATCGGAGGAATCTCCCAGCCCCAACCAAGAAAAAACTATCATTTTGCCAACAAAAATAGAATTAATCGAACAGAAAATAGAAGACACACAAGAAAAAGAGGATCGTTCAATCGTCCCCTCATTTGAGACTTCCATGGAACAGCTTCAAGCCTGGTCCAGAGCTATAAGTTCTGCTGCTAATCAAAATCTTCGAGCCCGGCGTGATCTATCCGTTAGAACTGACCTAATGGACGATATTCCGTGGACTTCTATGTACAAAGAAGACATTCATAAACACAATCCCGGAGCTCTCAATAAAACTCCATCGCACCTAGGATATAAGCCAAAAAATATACTCGGTGCTTGTTTCGAGTCTCTAATTCCATCCGCCTTGGTTTCCAACGACGGAGAAAATTCAAGAGATTTACCACCCAATCACCAAAGTACTCCACCTACTCCCTCATCTTGTTTCACGGCAATGCAGCGGGAGCCATCACCTTGTTTTCCAACAGCATCTCTTTCACATGAACCTTGCAATTCCTTGTCAGAAACTCCGGTGAAAAGGCCCACTGTGAAATCCAATCGTCATGTCGAAGTCCCTTCACAAACCTCATCTGCCTCCCCCTATCATCATGCATTCTCAATCAGATCGCTTCTCACCGATTCTCTTGATAAATCTGATGCTCGCACGCCGACAAACTCCGCTCTTTTAAAACTCCAGCTATGCCGGACAGTCCTTGATTCAGTGACCGATTCTCCCGCAAAAGAAAGTCTTTCAACTTCCATGGTCTCAGGGGAGTCTGAGCCAAGCATGGTAGAGGATCTCGAAAGAGACCTTAATGATGATGAAAATTCCGAAGACGCCTGTGATCCTGCAATGGATGAGGTCCGAAAAGAAGATGAAAAGGGTGAAGCTACCGGAGATGAAGAGAAAAAACACGAAAAACCAGCCTTCAGCTACAACGCCCTGATCATGATGGCGATCCGGTCGTCCCCGGAGAAACGGCTGACGCTAAGCGGCATCTACGACTTCATCATGACGAACTTCCCTTACTACCGCGACAACAGGCAAGGCTGGCAGAACTCGATCCGGCACAACCTGAGCCTCAACAAATGCTTCGTTAAAGTCCCCAGACACTACGATGACCCCGGCAAAGGTAACTACTGGATGCTCGATCCATCGGCTGATGATGTCTTCATCGGAGGAAGTACTGGTAAACTCCGCCGCAGGTCAACCCAGGCTTCCAGAAATCGTTTAGCAGCATTTAAACAATCTCTCCTAGGCCGAATGTGCAACCCATATCTTAGCCCTTTGTACCATCAAGCTGCAACCGCTGCTGCCGTTTCAGCTTTGTATTGCAGGCCTCCCTTTCAACCTAATTTACCAAGTTCACCTCTGAGTAACATGTACCTAAACACATCGCAGCAGTGCACTCCTCCTCTTACTCCTACTGTGCCTTCTTATTCTCACCAGCCTTACCCACCACATTCCCCTAATGGAATTCAATCCCCACTTAGACTTCCAAATCTCATCGAAACTGCAAAACTCAACAACAGTCAACTCCCTTTGTCGTTCAGTGTGGAACGCCTACTAAGTGATAGCCCCAGGTCTCCTTCACCAAACGATAACGGATATCCTGCTGTTGATAGATATAGAGTTTGGTCATCCATGTTCGGAAATTCGCATCCAGGAATGTCATCATTTGGTTCCGGTCATCCAGTTCCACTTGACGATAACAACCTGCTCAAGCGTGCTCTCGCTGGACATCAACTAGGAGGAAGTTCATCCAATCCAACCTGGCCATAACATGAGATTTTGTTAGCACTCATATTGCTGTCTTGTCAATTTTAAACTAATCAGAAAACATAATAACCAATTAGCAGATTTCCAATAATATTAATGCTATTGTTGCAACGACACAGCCCACAGTTTTTCTGCTAGCACTTGTTTATGTTTTTTTTATGGCTTAGCTTGTGAGTTTTCAACCGCACGAGTCTTCAGTAGACATGGCTTCCGCACACTATTTCTTTGACATAGTCTATTTCTGAAATCGTTTTGAGTATTTTCAATGACGTTTTACGCGTTCTATTTAATATCCGTTTTGTGGGTTTTTCTATGAATAGATTTACCAGATTCTCATGAAATAATTTTCAACTTTACGAGAGCTTATTCAACATCGGTAACGAGTGGATCAGATAGTTATAGCTTGTAAGTGCTGTCGTAGCAAAGAGTGTCCCAGACGTTTCCTCGAATTTTAGATTGATATATAAAAAAAATGGGACATGCGCTCCTTCGATGTCTACGTAATATGGGCGCTTGCAGCCTAATGCTCTGAATTTTTCTACAGGTATATATGTATGTCTAAGTTCAGCGTGCGATTAAAAATTTCTTTGTTTTTTAGTTAGGTTTTTATCAATGATCAAATAAAACTAGACACTATTGACGTATTTTCAGTTATATAAAATATATGTTGTCAACACATCGAAATCTCATTGTTGTGGTGAATACGTACGCATTTACAAAAGCTGAATGGTGAAAAATGAACTTTGAATGAATGGGTTGAAAATCACTGTAAATGAAATTATTTGCGTGTTTTTTTGAATTTTAAAATTATTTAACCTCGAAATATATTTTTTTTATATTTTCACATAACTAACCTCATATGATGTCTTTTTATCCATATTTTTAGATAGTGCCGTCTTCCGTGTAGTATAGCGATTGTATCTAGTACACGAAAAATGCTCGTATAAAGTTGATCTATTTTCAAAATTAAAATAAATTTTCTCATATAAAACATTTTGAGACGAAGAAAAAACAAACACATATGAAAAATATCTTCATTTCCAATTAATAGAATGTAATGGGAATGCCATTTATCTAAAAAAAAGATTTCAGGAAAAATTATCAACGGCTGGGTAAGAAGTAAGAAAATATGATATATGAAATATTTCATATTATATGAAAAAAAATAATTCTCAGTAAAGTTTCCAGTGCATCATTGGAAATTCTTCATTATATTAATAAAACAGTAAAGTTGAAATAAAACATGGTTTCAATGTGATTTATTGTACAGGTTTTCACGGAGAACTTTTCTTAATACACAAACGAAAAAACTTTGTTAAGTTACCTTTGATGAAGATAATTTTAACATATACTTTCTTTACACAATAAAGGATTTATTTACGCAAATTCAAAATTGGCGTGAAAATACCGAATTTTAAAAAGATGAATAATATTTTGTTTCCGGTTACCTTAAAATTTTCGATTACTACATGAGCATTTGAATTTCCGGACACATGGTACTTGAATATCATGCTGTTTCTGTATGAATATATAAAATTGTATGAATATATATAATATATTAATAATAGTTTTGACGAATGACCGTCTCAAGTCTATCTTATCCAGAGAAATGAATGAGAACTTGTTCCAATTAAGAGTGATACATTTCTTCTACCCGTATTGGACATTCTGAATAATTTTGGCCAAAAGACGTATAACTCCTAGATGCAGGAAGTGTGTAATTATTTAGACAATACGACCCTCTATTTTTCTGAGTAGTGGATATTTGGATATTTACATCCATTTGACTTTTCTGATAAATGTCGATAAGAAATACTAAACTTATTTGAATCTCGTATTAGTGCCTAATAAGTGCGAAAATTTTAATGGTAAATGTTCATTTGATTTTTTCATTTCAATTTGTCAAATTTTTATGAGAGAAAAGCTCTTTCATTTCCTGCGTCGAAGAATTTGAATTTAACTGTAAATTGATTTGTAATGAATATTATTTATTGACATCTTATCAATGCTAAAAGATATTTCATTTATAATTTCTATTTCGCTTAAGTCACGTTAAAAAAACTCTTATATAGTAATGAAATAAAAAAATTACACGCCCGCTGAAGAAAAATTAATCGAAAAATATTACACACCAAAGTAGCTATTACCAAATTCAATTTCCCGTAAAAATTGTTTCGACGATGATTAGAAAATCTGAGTTTATTTACTTATGTAAAAATTCGAGACATGTTGTGAGAGTGTTTTTATATAGAAGTGAATATGTTTTGTACGCTATCTGTATTTTTTATAACGTATTTTTTATTGAATGCTGATTAATAGGATTAAGCTTAACTATAGTTTATCCGGTTTAGGGTGTTGTTATTTATTTAGTCTTTTGTATGCATGATAATGCATACAAAATTTATTATAATACGTGATAATTTATGCAGTCATATGAATGCATTATAATGCGCAGAAAAAAAACATTACAATTCAAAATAGTTTAATGGGGATTTTTTGGTAAATCTGCACACGTGTTTTTTCTTGTTTCGTGAGGTGATTGAATAAAATGTCATTTTTTCTTTGTTTTTAAATAAATATTGAAAGTTGTTTATTTTGTTTGCTTAAAGTCCTATTCTGATGTAACTCCACGGAATTCGCACCGAGCATTCAATTAGGACAATTTTCACGCATCCTGTTCAAATATCAATCATATATATATTCTAAATAATAAATTGCTGTACATTTGTGCTAATTTTAATTTCATAACAATATTTTCTATTAATTTAGTATCGACTTAAAAAAACTAATTTCCTTTCCTGACCATATGGGACTAATTTGTTATAGAACTGAACTGGAATTAAAATCATACATCAATTAAATATCTGGTAAGAAACTGATTTACAAAAAGGTTAAGCAGCGCACCGCAGAGGCTATAGCTTTAGTAAAATCATCTTTCCAAAGTATAAAGAGGAGAATTGAAATGAGGAAAGAAATGAAAGGTTTAATAGGTCTCACAACGCCTTACAACTTTTAAACTAGTCACCCAAATGGAGCTAGTGTTACCTAAAAGTGTCACTCAAACAGAAGACTAACAGGAAGCGTTGGTGTCACAACAGCAACCGGCAGCAGTGCCTGCTCTCAATGAACAGGGCCGGATATTATCAATGTCCGCTGTGTGTCCACTGAATGTCCAGTGAATGTCCGTTCAGTGTTGCCAACACTACCGGCCTGACACACGCCTCGGTCGTTGTGACAATTGCTGGCAAAACTCCACGTGTATGTATGACTATACATGTATACGCGTATACAAATGCGCATTCCATGAATACAAGAAATACAAACAAATGCGCATACATGAGTATGCGTAATATTGATGTTTACACACTAATACGTGTGTATGCGCATACATGCATACATGTGTAAGCGAAATAAAGATGTTCACACATTTATACGTGTGCGTAATACATATCTTGCTACAAATTTTATTTAGATATTGTTCCTCTTATATAACGTATATATGAAACATATATATTAATTAAATTAGTCAATTATTTACACGTTATACATAAATTTCAACTTGATAAGTGTTTATTTCATTACCCATCGTTAAAGATAATTTAAATTTAGAAAACCAGAAGATTTACCTTGTACATCATTATTCATGTTACCAGTTGGCAGTTTCAACATCTTCATTTCATTAATTATGGAAATTCAACGAAAACCAACAGGTTCCCAGACGTCACCGCTTCTAGCATATGATTAATTAGAGATAATATTTTAAAAATGATTCCGTGAGCCATTCATTAAGGCTTTTAAGCTTTTAATCAATTTTAAGATGATTCTAATTTTCTCAATTTTTTTTACATAATTAGGAGGTGATTAATTAATGAGAGCGATTAATTGAAGTAAATTACACGCAATTAAGTGCACAATTGGAGCTGACAACAATGACACGTGCTGACACGTGTTCTGCACTAATTAATAACGTATTATGCACTAATTAGTCACGGCACGTGTTCTGCACTAATTAGTCACGCGTACGTGTTGCGCGTGTTGGTGTACGACCAGCGACAGACGTACGTACGTCCAGGAAATATTGACTTTCGATAAAAAAAACGATCGATAATAAAAACAATTTTTTGTACTGCTTTCTTAACTGCTTAAATTTCCAGGATTGGGATTGATTATTAACCAGGTAACGAATTTTCATATAATGAATTTCGAATGGATTTCCAGGTAACGAGTTTCCGGTATTTATTATCAACCAAATTTTTGTACAGCTTTGTTAACTGCTTGAATTTCTTGGATTGATTATTAACCAGGTAACGAATTTTCAGGTAATGAATTTCCAATGGATTTCCAGGTAACGAATTTCCGGGATTGATTACCAACCAAATTTTTTAGCTGGTAAAATTTTTGGAAGGCAAAAATTGGATTTCAAGTCAGTTTAATCATGAAAGTTTCGAAACCAAAATTCAGTAAAAGATTTGCCAAAGTATATTTTCATGTATAGTGCGTCATGCGAGGTTAATTTTGATGTTGAAATGATAAAGACATTAGAAGAGATTATATCTCCTTTGCTTTCGTAACCTTACGTTATGAATGAAAAATTATTTCAATGTAATATCAGTAATTTAAAAGCAATATAAATGATAAAAATATACTATGTTCTCATTGAACCCGTTTTGAAAAAGAACGACATCACAACTTGTATTTAGAGAACGCACTAATTGCACTTGTTATAAAACAAATTGAATTGTTTATTATCTGATTATATCATAACATCCTATATATTAATTGCTAACTTGAGAAAATCAATATAAAAGTAAAAATTAAAATCGACTATGACAATTGCAAGCCAAGTCATTCGGGATTCTATAAATTGACAATTATCGGGAAACATATGTAAAGTTTCGTATCGTCAACATTGATTAGGCTATTAGGCCTGCCGCTAATTTTGAACATGGCAGAATATTCACAGCTTGTTGCGAGTCTCGAACATCCAATTCACTGCTCCAATGTTGTTGTGCTTTACCACCCGGCCACCTAGCCAAATTTAACCAGGTCGTTGGGATCAAACCCACAACAAACTACTGCAGTCTTGGGACTATAAACTGTAACCACTGGGAAACACTAATCCAAACGAAGGACTTTTTTTAAATAAGGTTGTCTTTTAAAAAGTCTTGAAATTCCAAGATCGTGAATTCGTAATCTAACGGCAAAAATTCTTAAATCCCTTTCATTTGAGCGACCAAATTCTTAATACTAAAATATAATTCATTAGGGACCTCTTTCTTTGATGGTTAATTTCTTTCGTGAAAATTTATTGCGCTTCTTAGTTTTAGTTATCTTTGTGATATTCCATTTATAGTTATTACCAGGACCTGAAAATTTATTATCAGTAGTGGAATTATGGGCATTTGAAGCAATTGGAAGAAATTGGAATAAAAGAAATGAAATAAAATTATTATATGCTTGTTTTATTCTACTAGATGGAAAGTCTTCCTCCCCCTCCCTCCCCCAAAATAAATATTTTTAATTCCCGTTAAAATTTGAAACCTGAGTTTGGCAGACAAATATTCTTAAATGTTTTTTCCAAATTAAATTCCCGTTATCGCAATAATTATGCCTCCCAAGCATAGCTGAACTGTGCTTCTAATTAAGTTATAAACTCGTACACTACTCTTAATAGGAACTTTTTATCGCTTTTCGCAACGTCTATTAATTTTCTATCACTTGTACAGAAATGCATTTCCACAACACTACAGAAAATACTCAAGTGATCGATGAAAAAAAATAATTTTTAGCTCCTCAATCATTGCTTACATGACTTTTTTGCATCTTCGACTGGCAAACTCTTGTTATCAACTTAAAATTGTATTCTAAACACTATATCTTTTTAAACCTTGCAACTGAAAGTCACTACAATGAGAGAAGCCTTTCTGCCATCCTCTTTTTAATTTAAATACATAGTGCATCCGGTGTAAAATTAGGAAGTTGTTCGTTGTTTTTTAATGAGGAGTAAAGGCGATAACAGCCTGCGGTGTTAACGCTTAACAAGCTTACGCAGCTTACGCAGCAGCCACGTACACCCAGTCTATTAGTCCAATACAAAACCATTGTCCACAACCAGCAGAAGCGGTCACTAACTTCCTGTACTTTCACAACTCCTATTCCAGATCCGCCAGGTGACCAACTTAAATCTCGGTCGCTTATTAGGCTCCCTGGTTCACCCCAAATATAGGCCGTGTTCACACCTATGACTAATTGAAGAGAAATATTTAGTCACTTATTGTGGGAAACTTTGCCGAACAAAAACGTGATCGGAACGATCTCCTATTCTTTATTATGAGATCGGAAAATGTATAACACGATTTTAAATTCAAAAGTATATAAATAAAATTACATGGGTAGATCATGTAGTTGTGTAGGTCCTGTAGGTAGTCTGGATTTTGTGGGTTGTTATAACTGTGCAGGGTGCAGTTAACTGGGTAATTTAATTGCATTTAATTGGGTTTCGAAGGTTAATTGTTAGATTATGTGGGTTGTTTCGACTGTGTAGTGGGCATCGGCTGCAATGGTAGATTGAATTGTGTTGGTTGCGTGTATTAATCAGTTTGTGTTAGCTGCATGTGTGCTGTGTAGGTTGCCATGATTGTGTCGGTTGTGTAGGTTGGTCAGGTTGTGTTGATTGTGTCGGTTGTGTAGGTTGGGTCGGTCGTGTGTGTTGTGTGGTTGTGTGGATTGTGTGGGCAGTGGTCGAGGCCGCCCGCAGGTGCCCGAACAATCGGTGTCTGTGGCATTGTTCGGAGGCGTCCGAAAGGCTTTGTTTTCTGGTTACTGCGGTGAGCTGTTCAACTGTTCCTGTGTTGACACACCAATTAAACTGTTGCCACGAGAGAGCCCACGTCGGCAAACTGTCCTCTAATTAAACTGTTGCCACGAGAGAGCCCACGTCAGCAAACTGTCCTCTAATTAAACTGTTGCCACGAGAG